TCAATCCCCTTATCCAAATCATCAACATTATTAAAAGAACATTATTAAAAAGAACTGGGCCCAACACTGAACCCTGGGGAACAGCACCGTTCACCACCACTCTCTGGGCCATCCAGCCAGTTCTTAACCCAGCAGAGAGTGCCCCTGTCCAAGCTGTGGGCTGCAGCTTTTTCAGGAGTGTGCTATGGGAGACAGTGTCAAAGGCTCTGCTGAAGTGCAGGTAGACAACATCCCCAGCCCTCCCCTCATCCACCAGGTGGGTCACCTGATGATAAAAGGAGATCAGGTTGGTCAGACAGGACCTGCCCTTCCTGCATTTGTATGCAGTTGCAGCTAAAAATTTTTTAGCCTTTTTTGATTTGATGAAGAAAAAAGGTGGTAGGGTGGTGTCTCTGTCAGATAGCTTTCAAAAATGATTCCAGACTGTTGTGAAAAATGTAGGAGCGAGTGTGGTCTTTAGTACTTTATCACAGGGAAGTTGCCATCATAGAGAATCAAGACTGAGCTCAGGGAGCTCAAGTATCAGAAGGAAACAAAATGGCAAGTATTTAAATTGTGGATGATGGCGAGCATGAAAAATAAAAGGTTCTCATCTGAAAAGAGATTGCAAAATTCCTGAGGTATTAACTGTGAATGGTTAATTTTTGTGAAAAAGGACTTTACTCTCAACCACACAGAAGCCAGATAACTGGAATTGGATTCAGAAGATAGACTACAGGAGGTTTTATTTGAAAGTGAAGAAGTTTTAAAGTTTAATGGTCAGAGATACATATATTCCATTGTTTACGTACTGGCACTTTCGCAAGCTAGTAAGGCATGTTCAAAGATAGGGAAAAGAAGTCAGTTTCTGTATTACCTTATTACTAATGCTTACAGTTGTTGAAGCTGCCTTGGCTTGGGAAATGATATGCTTAGATTTGAAGGCACAGTTCATGTAAAGGAGATTACCACTAAATTTAGAAAACCTCAATGAAGGTATTTTCGTTATGTCTTAGATTATCAAGGGTCAGGACATTATAATTTTCAGGATAATTTTTCATTTTGTATAGTGACTTAACTCTGAAAATGTAGTTTATCAATAAATGTCATTGGATTTTAATCCTTTAATGGGAATGTAAGAGTAATTTTTTTCTGTTTTCCCTGGAGTTGTGAGAGACAAGCAGGCAAGAAATGCAGATTTCTGACACTGCACACTAATGGCATCATTTTCATGAGGTTTTTTGTATGTTCCCCATTGGTAATGCATTGCTTCTTCAGTTTTCATATCAGTTGCTGACAGCAACCAGATACAAGAGAGCAGTCCTTATATAGATTTTATGTCTTATAAAGAAGACAAATTAATTCTATCAAAGACTCATTCATTCTCATTTGTTGAGAATCTCAGATTCCTTTGTCTCTGCAAGCAGATGGTTCTTATGTGCTCATTATTTAGTTAGCCAAGATCTTTAAGGTCAGCATGATGGAATTATTGGAATTTAAGCTTTCTGTAGTTTAGTCATGTACTGTTCGTGCCACCTTGTCCTTTTTTTCTAAATACCAGCTTATGGTATTTACTTTTCAGAATAGAGTACTAAACAAACTGGAGTGATCTTTAGAGCACCAAAGATATTTCAAATGCTAGTAAATTTAGATTGGGCCAGGGCATTTCTTCAGGTTATTAGTATTTGTCTCCCCATTATTGTTGTGTGTAACCTCATGAAGACTTTTTTGGTTGCATTTTTTTGTGTTGGCTATATTATTTTTTTAACAATGCAAGAAATCAAGGGGATATGAATAGGTAACTGTAACTGTACTTTCTGCATTCTTTCACATGCATCTCATAAAATTATAACAAAAGTTGTTTTCCTCAAAGCAAAATTCCATATAGTGTTAACTAGCTCCTTGCATCAAATGTGTTTGTTGTCTTCTCCATATTACATGGTCTCACTTACTGAACAAAAATATATATGTTGCTTTCTGTAAGTCATAAACCTGAAGTTTATCTAAGGTGCTCAGAGGTACTTGTATAGTTTACACCCACTTTCTTTTTACCTGCTCTAAGATCAGTGAGTTTTGATGTTGTTCTAACACATGATTTATACAGTTCAGGAATTGTAGTACTCTGTACATCTTCTAATGTGAATACGTTCTTGGTGAAATTTATCCCTATGAATAGTCAAGATGTTTAAAGTTTGTTCATAGGTCAAATGTAGGAGGATGATGTGGTTGAAATATGCAGTTAAAGAAATGAACATGAAAGTAGGTTCAGAGATCTTTGTTCTGAAGTGAAAATAGCATGCAGTAGTTTTCATTTGGCTTTTAAATTGTTGTTTATCAGGTGCTTAAAATAACAGTTTAAGAGATGCTCTTCTGGTATTCTCTACTAGAACTAAAATTGAGAAAATAAAATGGTGATGGATGATTTTTGACAGTGCCTTTCCCAAAATGCTTCCCAAGTATGTAACTCTATTTGTTAAGGTATATTATGAAGCTCTTGCTGGCTCAGGTGACCCTCAGGGCTGGGATGTTTGTCTTGCCTTGCTGCTGGAACCCAGCTGTGCATGCCCATCCTGGGTCCCTGTCCCTGCCTGTGGTTCTGACATTGAGGGGAGGTTAAGCAGACAGAAGTGTCTCCTGTCCGTGGCCCTGTGACCTCTAACACATAGGTGTGTACTCTGGGCCCTCCAGTTACTGATACAGGCCTACAAGCTTGGTGATCCATGTCGCTTTTCCTGTTGCTGACACTCTAACCTGTCTTGTACTCTGATGCCTCCAGCTGCTGGCACCTCAGGCTCACAGCGCCGATGGCCTGTGGTCCCCACCCAGTCACTCTGGCATGTTGACCCTGATGTGCTGCTGTCACTGGCACTGCAGGTGTGTGGGTCGAATGACCCTTGATTGTCCTGCAGCTGCTGGCATTTGCTTTTACTTGCTCTAGTCTCAAGCTGCTGACATGCAGGCTTGTCCCTAGCTACTTGCCATGACACCTTGCAGCATCCACAGATGGGACAGGGAGTGGAGTTGCACAGAAAGATAGGGGAGGATTTATTAAGACAGGATAGACCACAGTGACGAGGTACAGGACTCAGATAAGTGCACTGACTGGTTCTTGCTTACACATAACTGGCTCCTTTATCCTTTCTCCTCACTTTGCCTCCATCCTGTTTGTCGTCACACCCTCTTCCTCATCTTTGTATGCTTTCCGGAAGCATTGCTTAATGGGTTGGTATAGATCCACAGGCGCCACCAGATACTCATAATTCCCATGTTCTGTTACTTCCCCCTTATCTGTTGCAAAGTCCACGCTCCTCAGAGCGATGCCTGTGGTTTCTTAATGGCCTGTCAGTTAACAGCAGGAGAGTTTTGGTTGTCTTTATGGTCTCCTTTAGAGCTTACTTATCATGTTTGTCTCTCTGTGTGGTCTTTTTATGGCTTTCCTTGTGACTTGAAATAGTCCTTTGCCTGATAGTATCAATGAACCGGATGCTTTCAACTTCCACATGCCCTTGCTCTTTCTTTTTAGCCCTATCATTGAGGGTAGTTCAAGTAGCTGTTGCAAACAGGAAATTGAACTAATGGAGGCATTAGACAAAAAATACTAGTGTTTTAGGTAGGTATAAGATGTGAAATAAATAATAGATGGGTAAGGTTAAAGTAGACTTTATGATGAAAGACACATTTCAAGCTAAGCAAGGTTAAGGTTTGCCATTAGACAGTAACTTTTGTTAGCCTGCACAGTGGAGGCTGTCCCTGTACTGAGTTGAGGATATCACAGATTTAAACTCTTAGAGAACTACCTATTATCTGTATCTCAAGTTAAATCCTGCAGAAATCAATGTTTTTACTTCCATAAATGTGCAACAGGGAGTAAATATGTTTCAAACCTTCTGTCACAGGGTGGTAGGAAATCTTTACCTGTGCAGTTGTGATGATTATTCATTTATCCCTTAAACAGAATGTAATTTTGAAAATTGTTATGTTTTAGTGCTAGCTAAATATACGACAAAGAAATGATTCTTTTTTTAAATTTTGGGGATTTAGGGTAGAAATAACTTGTCTCACTATTTATTTGGTTTTCTTAGTGGTAATTGGTGTAAACACTATGAATACTTAAACAAGTGAAATTTTTATACCCTTTCACCACAGTTGTATTTTTTTTGTTCTGTTTGCAGAATCCAGTTGTATCGAGTTCTAGCTGGTCAGAAATAGATGTGCTGATTCTGACTGGAACAATTGGCCATGTTTTGAGTTTGGGGGCAAGCAGTTTTGTAGAAGAGGAACATCAAACCTGGTATTTTCTTATCAATACGCTTTGTTTGGTGCTGTGTCAGGAACTTTGTAGAAATAATTTTCTTCTGAAGGAATGTGACCCTCAACATAGCACCAGTGTGAAACAAAATTTTGATAGTATCAGGGAAACCCCTGAGTGCAAGAACATAGACATGCCAGAAGGAGATAATTCAAAATTGGGCAAGGCCACCTCTTCTTCTGAATTCATAAAAGGATCAGATAAGTGGATAAGCTTAGCAACTCCATGGATCATCCTTATTTGCTGTCGTCTACTTCGATCCTTGAACCAGACAGGTGTCCAGTGGGCTCATCGGCCAGACTTTGGCCATTGGTTAACAAGGTGGGTATCTGATTTATTGTTATACTTTCTGTATTACTTAAAAATTAGTATATATTTCATTTGGTGACATATGTATATGTTTTTGTGCACTCTCTGATCAGAAAGTGCTGCAGACATGCAAAGCAGGTAAACAGTGAAGTAACATAAGGATTGTTTCACTGCTGTTTCATGTCGGACTAATTCCTTGTGTCCTAGATCATACAATTTTAGGGGTTGGAATGGACCTTACAGATCATCCAGTCCCAACCCCCCCTGCCATGGTGGGGGTTGGGACTAGGTAGTATTGTCCTATCAATAGTTTATAGTCTTTGCCCTGCACCATGACTTATCTAATTAATGCCAATTATACATGAGAGGTTTATCAGAAGCAAAAGGTAAATATTTTCTGTGTGTAAGTCAACAGTGTCTGAGAAATTAAAAATCATTTAATAGAATTAAATGATTGAAATTTAAATGCCTTGAAATTAAAGCAGGAAAGTTCTGCATAATTCTGAATTTTATGAAGTCAGTGGAGAATATGCAGCACATAGAATTCATCCTTGTCTATCACAGACTGAAATGTGTGGGTGGAAAACTGAAGGAATTTTTCAAGTGCAGTGTGGTAAACAAGAAAGGGATTTTTTTATAACTTGAAGTACACCAGAGGAGGGCTTCTACTTTTTCTACTACCTTTTAGTATTTTGAAGAACTACAGTCATTATTCTGTGATAAAAAGTACTTGATATTTGAACTGTATTCTGTACTTCAGTTAGTGGATGGAGCAATATCTTGTAACTGACTAGTCAAGGTTTTACAGGCGGCAGATGGAGAGGCTGTGCTGTGTAAGATGAATAGATTTCTTGCCAGTATCTTACAACACATGGATGAAATGTCATTCATCATTCATTAAACATGACATGAGCAAATGGACTAATACAAGACTTGTTATTTATTGGCAGCCTCATAGATGAAATGCTAATTGCTGTGACAGGCATGAGTGCTGAAAGACATGAATTATGAGGGAATTTATCGCATTATAGCAGTTGTTCTGTGCCAGAGCTTTCACCATGC